GCAGTGCGATGCGGCGGCTAGTAAAGCGACCAAAACGCTGGCTTTCATCCATAGATGCTTCTCAAGCAAATCCCGGGACGTCATTCTCCCCCTGTACTCGGCCTTAGTGAGGCCGCAGCTGGAGTACTGTGTCCAGTTTTGGGCTCCACAATTCAAAAAGGATGTGGAGAAGCTTGAGAGAGTCCAGAGAAGAGCCACGCGCATGATCAGAGGTCAGGGAAGCAGACCCTACGATGACAGGCTGAGTGCCCTGGGGCTCTTTAGCCTGGAAAAGCACAGGCTCAGGGGTGATCTGATGGCCACCTACAAGTTTATCAGGGGTGACCACCAGTATCTGGGGGAATGTTTGTTCACCAGAGCGCCCCAAGGGATGACGAGGTCGAATGGTCACAAACTACTACAAGACCGTTTCAGGCTGGACATAAGGAAGAATTTCTTTACTGTCCGAGCCTCCAAGGTCTGGAACAGCCTGCCACCGGAGGTGGTTCAAGCGCCTTCATTGCACACCTTCAAGATGAAACTGGATGCTTATCTTGCTGGGATCCTATGACCCCAGCTGACTTCCTGCCCTTTGCGCAGGGGGCTGGACTCGATGATCTTCCGAGGTCCCTTCCAGCCCTAATGTCTATGAAATCTATAAACTCTTAAACTGTTCAATAAAGTAGGTAGGGTTTTCTTGAATATAACCTTCAAAATGACATCAGTATTCCTTTACCAGTGTTTCCTTGAAGTGCTAATGAAATGTCTGCAAACTGATAGAAAATTAGCATTATTTAAGCTATTTAGTTTCCTTTCAGCCTAAATTAAGTTTAATTGCAGAAAACACCATGGAACACAATCTTACTTTTAACTGATCAAGCTGCAACCAGTATATTGGATACATAAGGCAAATTCATTCCTTATGTTTTCCTACTTATTTATTGCATATGTTTTAAGAAAACACCCTGCTGTTCTGCAATACTTGGTGTGTCCAGTGTACTTTCTGCTTCACGTAAGTGCAAAAGAGGCCAAAAAGTACTTGTCAGTTTAATCTTCATTCGTCTAATCACATACCTAATAACCCGACCCCTAACCTTGTCTTTCTTTTGTACATGGCAGATTTGTATCCTAAAATATCCGTATACAAAACTAGGCATTTTCCCTTAAGAGCTCAGAAACGATGTTTTTTTTCTGAAGTCTTATAATTATTAAATCCTATGATTTAGTCTGATTTTTTTTTTTTTTAACTTAGAGGTTGCAAATCTGCTATGCAAATGAGAAATATTTTATGGATATGATATAACCGAAGAGATTAAGTAGTATTTTTTGTGTGAAAACTCAAGTTAGATTAACATTTTGATTTGATAGTGATCGATTTCTTTAAAATGTTTATACATGTATCACCACCACCAAAAGGAGAGTGCTCACAGAGAAGAGCATTGGCTGTTATAGGTATATGTTGTGTTGACAGTTCAAGTAAATGAGCAATGTTTTTGTCTCTACACCTCAGGTATTTCCAATCCTCACTCCTTGTCCCCTAAATAAATCTGCTACAAAATGTGGATTGATTGTGTAATTTTTGTCTTCCATTTCATATTCTCTCTCTCACCTAGTTGGGGTTTTGATGTTACAGCCAAGAATGAGATGTCAAAACAATCTTCACTGTTCCAGCAAGCTTTTCAGATATTTTTCCCCTCTTCACACTTTTCCCCTTTTACGCTTTCAGATTCCCATATTATCCCTCTTCGGCTCCAGATCCCTTCTCTAAACATACTTTTTCTCTGTTATGTTGGCACATCATTGTGTGTTTGAACCATCATAGATATATGAATATGATTACCCTCGTATCTGCAAAATAGAGAACTTAGGCAGAGATAGCAAGCAAGGGTCAGTTTTTAAAAAGTATTTAGGGCCTAACCCTTAAAAATGTCTCCAAATATGCTGAGTATATCAGAGGAGTTTGTGGCAGTAAAGAACTGAACCCAGATCCTTCCAGGTCCCAGTCCAGTGCACTAGCCAGAGGATCATTTACTTTCCATAAATGCTGCCATTATCTGATACTCTCCATTTTAAATATTAGAGTACATAATGATAAAAAATAAACAAAAAACTTCAAGGGTTCTCACTGGGACACTGTACCTTAATTTGTACAAGACAGGGTAGATATATATAGCTTAATTGTTTATACATAAAAATATGAATGCATTGTGGTGTGTTTAAGAGTTCTCTTGTGCACGTAGTAGGTAGCTGCATTAGTCATGCATGTCAACCTGTACAGCTCATCATCATTTTATACCCATATTACATTTTTAAGGAAAACTGTTTTAGAAGCATTTTAGAAAACAAATTCTGCCTATTTTCCTTGCATTTCAATTGTAGCAACCCAATAGTAATATCCCCTGACAACATTTTGTTGTTTCTGCTGCTTTTTCTTTGTCTCTCCCCCTTAATACATAGAGGTATCCCTTCTGCTTGATTTCAGTACCTGACAAAACCTTAAAAATCTTTGGTTTTATTAAGCTTCCAAAAGATGCATTATTGTAGGCCTGCCAATAAACCTCTTCAGCTCCACAGGAAGGTCTTTGTGTTTGAAATGCTCCATTAGAGGTTTTTTTTTTTTTTTTGGAGAACATCTGTTGTCAACCCATCAACAACCGTTTTCTTTGTTCCTTAGAGTATATTGGCTTATATTTGCTCACACAGTTCTGTATTCAGTCTTTTTACATGTTCCATCTCTTCTGATTATTTTATTTTTTTATTTTTATTATTCATTAGGTGTATAGACCATTTCTGCATCAACGGCCATTCCTGCCACTTGATTTGCATTTTCTGTCACCGTTCTCAACATCATTTTCCAACAACGTTACATTTTTAAGCACCCAGTTGGGGAAATGCCAAAGGCAAGGTTGCATGTGCAACCTTACCTTTGTTATCTTAAGACTGTCATTAATGACATGCCTGCATACTATAGAACCAGATCCAGCAAAGCAAATGCTCAACTTGAAGCTTTTTTTTAAGCCTGAAATTGTCCTCTCTGCCCCTGTCTTATGCCAGTTTTTATTATGCTTTGAGATGATCTGGTTCTTCCAAAGCATAGTCCAGCCTTTTTTTTCCCTTTGTAATAGTCCCAGAACTTTGCCAGATATTAGAATACCTAAAAGGTCCATAATAGTCCAAGTGCAGTCCTGCCAGTGTCCTGTGCAGGTGGCTACATTTCATTTCAAATATTTTCTTACGTTTTACCCCTTTATTTGTATTTGCTACAACCAGTACTTACTTATGCTGCTCATGGACCTTCTCCTACCAGTTCTCTAATTTTGGCTGTTGAGTTGGACTGTTTTAGAACCATTTAAAAAAACACAGATGACTTAGCATCTACTAATGATATCCTTTTGTATTTAAATAAATGAGGTGAGGAGACTTGGAGGCTTGGCAAGATGACTGCAGACAAGCCTGGTTGCAGGTGTTTAAAGTTAAGAAGCTAGAGCAGAAGACCATAATTTCTCTTTTTTGCCTCCTGCTTCCTGTAGGTGGAGCCAAACCCCACATCTGAATTTCTAGGCCTGTATAGGCATAGACTTAGCACTTATGTTATTTCTTGAACAACCCATACTATGTAGGTGATTCTACGCCAGAACAGGATGCTCTTGTTACTTATCAACTAGACCTGAGGTTGTCAGAAAGGGAAGGAACTGGGTAGATAAAATTTCTTCTGAATTCAGTTTCCCTGCATACTATGCAAGCCCTGTTTTCCACACAATTTCTTAAAAGACAATAGTTACACTGCATCTGTCCATCTTAAAAGGAAAAACGTTTATAGCTCTTTCTAGGGTTTCTGAACCCTTAGCCCTTGTGCCTCGCTGGATCTTGGATATGCCCACACCGTTGGTTCTGCCATTATACGTTAAAATGGCTGGCTTTCAAGATTGTATTTCTTGCAGAGAACACTGCAGTTAGCAGCCTCTGCAGATACATATGACACAGCAGGTTTGTAGACTGTGTAAGAATTATAAAGATCAGTTTCCATTACTGTAATTGCTATATAAATCCTCTCTTTTAAGAGGCTTATAAACAGGCCTGTTTTTAACCTTGCGTTGAGCTGAAGCTTGGACCTAGTTTGTGCGCAACAAGTTCTTGCCCCATCTTCTCTGTAACCTCTTATATTAGTCTTTTTCATCTTAACCAAATATTAGTCTTTTTTTCTTAACCAAATGACAACAATAATCCTTGTTCCCTCTTTCTCTATTTAGTAGATCTTCTTCCATGGTGATGTATTTTTTAAAAATATACTCAATAGCAAGCCCAAATGAGTTTGTTAAATCTGGAAAGTAATGTATGTCCCCTTGGAACCTGTAACTATTTCTTTGACTCAGCTGTGCTCTAAAAAGGTGTGAGAAGTCTCCGAGGCGGTGATCCATAGAGTGAAATTAGAGGTACTGGAATAAAGTACAAGATCACATTCTCTTTGGAAGCCCATAACTGCAGTCCCCACCTTTTGGGGTATGTGGTCTAGTTAAAAATAAGTTGAAA